GGGGGGGATTATGGGTTTGAGGCTGTTGACTATAGTTCCACTGTAGTGCATTGTGTTATACTGATAAAATTGTTCGTCTGATGAGGCAGTTTCATGTCATGCTTATTTACGTATGCATTTATATCTCCTTCCATTATCCTTTAGATGTGATATTCAAGTGAATTGGTGCTTACTTTTTGTTTCAATAAATTTTGTTTCCCTTCTTGTCTTCTTAGTGTGGCAGCACATATCATCCACCTCTATTGCTTCTGGTATAATGGCATATGATGTGGCGACATGCTGCAACCCTTCTCATCTTTTTCTTTTTTTTTCTGGTAGGTTACCATGATTAAAGCCCTTGAAGGGTCTTCATCAAAGAGGAAAAATCCTGTGGATGCTGATAAAGTGGCTGTATTGACTGCTTGGCATAGAGTGGGTTGTAGAACAAGGGAAGCATTTCGCCGTAGCTTTCTCCCAGAACTGATTAATGGATATGAGGTACATCTTGTATCCGATGAATAGAGGATTCCTTGTCCTCCCATGTACTTTTACTCTCTCCATTCACCTTGATAAAATTCTTCATTTTCTATGAAAAGTAGATGGCATCTCTTTCCCTGCCTGCTCGATTATATTGAAAAGTACATGGATGCACTTGCCGACACCGTTGTCATTGTACTGAAATTGTGAACTACTTTATAACATTGATGATTGCTTTAACTTTTGATTTTACACACCAAATTTGATGATCTATTAGAATTTGTGATAGAGCTGAGCGATCAGTGGAGACACCATGATCAATGCCTGAAGGAGTAGACAGTGTAGCACGCTGTAAACGAGAGAAAACCTCAAGCAGAGATGGAAGACTAGAACCACCCAAAATCTGAGAATGAATAGCCTCATATTTAGGTTTCAATCCTACTAAAAATCTAACAACATTCAGGTCCTCATGTTGCTTCTGTTAAACTGCTGCATCAGTAGTAAAAGGATGGTAGGTCTTCATCTCCTCACAGACTCCCCGAACATGAAAGTAATAATCCGCAAGGCTCAGAGTACCCTGCTCTAACCGGAAGTACTCCTTGCACACCTCATACGCACGGGTAAAATTACTTGTACCAGAATACATAGTGGTCAAGTGAACCGGACTAGAGAAGCCCACTTGAGGGCTGAACCGGACCAGAAATACCCACTGGACCACTAAACAAGGAAGAATAGCCTGACTTGAAAGCTGAACCGAACTAAAGAAGCCCACTTGAGAGCTGAACCAGACTAGAGATACCCATTGAAGCACTGAACCGAACTGAAATTGATTGAACCAGACTGAACCGAACTTGGACCGGTCTGGATCTTGGATCAGGATCTGGTTCTGGGTTTGGATCCTTTACCCAAACCCATAAACTGACCCACTTGAACAGGGTCTTCTCCTTCGCTGGTTAGGGTTTCTACCAAACCTTATGCCTTCATTGTTGAACACCACCGAACCAGACCACCACACGAAGACAGTTGACTACACCACCACGAAGACAGTCGCCACCAACGATTGTACTAGTCGACTGCACTACCACGAATCAAAAAAAAAGGAAACCAGATTGAGTCGACACCACCAACGTCGACTATACCAATGACAACAACACCACACCAACAGTAACAACACCATGATTAATGCTCTGATACCATGTTAAGTTGAGAGAATTAACATAACACAATATTAAAGGCAATATTAAAGAGAAGAAGAGAGGTTAAAAACTTAACCTAGCTCTCATACATTACTCGTATTTATAGTTAACCTACAATAACAATAATTACACATACACCCTCTTACTATTAACAAATTATACATACTACTCTAGTAATCGTAATCAAAGCTTGAGGCTAAAAACCTTCTTGTAGAAAGTTGAAGTTCTTGCCACTAGTCACTAGTTTGTAAATATACTCTTGTAATTTTGATAGAATTTGCATGACCGACAAAAGCAATGTGTTTTTTGCAACTAGGAATGCATACGGGCTTTTGTTGAGGAGAGTGGAGATGGAGATGTTCTTGTGCTACAGGTTCAAGATCCTTTTCATAGGTTGTTGCTGCACGGGGTTTGTGAGGTATATTTACCCCTCTTTTTGGGTGAATCGACTCAAAATTTAGACCAGTATAGGGGTTTCGAGCTATATTGTTTGTTCTGAGGTTACATTTAGTAAGTAATTACGAAAAATTCATCTACTGATTTCTTATCGTAGTCACGCCAAAAAACACAAGTTTCCTACTTTTCCATTTACAATAGACAAAATGCCTGCATTATTTTCCTTTAAGTATCTAACATATTTCTAAAACTGCCTCTCAACAGTTCTACAACTTGGTCTCGGTAACAGTCAGTCAATCGAAGGGCACAAAATCCTTGAAGATGACAAGGATAAGGAAGAAGAAATCGGGTTCGGTTGAGCTTCCAAACATCACCCTTTGCCATTTCCTTAAGATGACGAAGGAAGGGATCTGGTAGTTCGATTGTCCAGAAATCTGGTCCATGTATTATATATTCCACCGTGTTCATTATCTTTATGTAATCTGACCGTGTGGTTGTACATTATTCAGTTAGTTAACCTCTGAGCACTTGCAATGATAGTTCATTGACCAAATGAACTCGGCAATTGCTTATTTATTTGTTGTAACTGTATTGCCTGTCCAAGTGGGCAAATTGTCCATTCTAAGAACGTAGTTTATTACTTTATCATTGAATATAAAAAGTAATATTGGTAGTTTTTGGTGTATCACACAGTTCAAATATGTAACGAGTTTTAATTTATGTTTAAATTATATCAAAATTATTCTATGTGCTGCTTGCCAAACTTATTCACAGGAAAATTATCCAGAGGTTTTTAATTTTTCTAAATTGACAAGCCACAATCACAATTCACAATAATTGGCGGATTAATAGGATCAAGTCGGGTGCGGAAAGACAAACTCGGTTCTCTTGAACCCGTTCAAGAATAGCCTAGCTCCCGATTAGAAACGTGCGATCCAGCTTGCCAAACACAACATGAGGACAAAATAGATTGGAATAATTACACTCAGGTATTCTAAAATTTGTTAATTAATCACTTAATCCACCTTAATATTTGAGATATTATACACAGACCTTTGAGATGTTTGTACGTGCATAACACTTAAACCTTTATCTTCAATGTAGTTAGAATATCTGTTAGTAAATTATACTTAGACAAGTTTATAGACTTGTAATACTTAGACTTTTCATGTTTAAAATATTATATTTTGACAAAAAATAATCCAATCAAATATAGAATATCAAATATTTTAAATTTTATAATCGAAATTCATGTTCTATTATGTTATTTATTAAAATAAATCAAAAATAAAAATCTAATTAAAATAAAAAAATTAGTATACAATTATAGTATCCATTAAACGACAAAACTATCCTGATTAAAAATAGAAGATATTGTGTCAATTACAATTTGACATTTATTTATTTTTTTGATTTTATTGTAATAGATAGTATAATTGTATACTAATTATGATTTTTTAAATAAAAATAATTTTTTTTTTATATCATTAAATAACATAATATAATATAAATTTTGGTTGTAAAATTTAAAATATTTGATAATCTATTTTAATTAAAGTATTTATTTTCTAAGTATAATATTTTAAACTTGAATGATCTGAATATATCTATTAAACGATCAAACTATCCTAATTAAATATAGAAGATATTTTGTCTATTATAGTTTAATTTTTTATTTATTTTTTTAGTTTATTGTAAGAGATAACATATAAAATATGAATTTTAGTTGTAAAATTTAAAATATTTGATATTCTATCTTTTATTGCAGTATTTTGTGTCTAAGTATAATATTTTAAAATTGAGAGATCTAAATATTACATATATACAAACTACAAAAGGTTTACGTGTAATTTACTAATAAATATTTTAACGGGCATTGATGACAAGTCTAAGTATTATGCGCCTATAAATTTTAAGAAATTTATGTATAATATTTTAAATATCAAGGAATTAAATAATTAAGTGAAAAACTTATTAGGTATAATTCTTTTAAATAGATTTTGTAATAACTACTAGGGAAAATGGTAGTTTGTATCCCAAAAAGATTTAAAAAATCTTAATTTATATTCTTAAAGATTACTTATTTGACCTATCATAACGTCAATTGTGATTTTTATGAAATTGACAATTATTTAAGACCTATCATAACGTCAGTTGTGATTTTTATGAAATTGACAACTATTTGAGACGTACATAAAAAAGAGAAAGGTCAATTTGACGAAAATTTTAATCTTATCCATAATGTTCATGGCAATATTTATTGGATTATCAAGTACGTGAAATGCACATGACAAAAGGGAAGTGTCATAATATAATAAAAGTCATCATGTGCATCTAACATGACTGAAAATTGATGATAATCACAACGAACTCTATGATTGGGGTCAGATTTTGCAAAGAATGCTATGATTGGAGTCACATTGCTACTAATTAATTTAATTGAGGGTATAATTTAAAATAATTAATCCTTGAGAGTGTAAATTGAATTTTTAATCTTCCGGGGTGAAAACTGCTATTTGCCCTAACAAATAAGCGAAGTCTTCTCCACAGTCGCCACAGTTCTGTTCGCATTTCTCTCTCTCTCTCTCTCTCTCTCTCTCTCTATATGTGTAAATCACAACCCCCAGCCCCACACATACTTAACACTTGCTTCTGTTTTAGAAAGTATTTACTGGAAGTAGATTTGTGTTGTGGAACAGGTGGACGCGTTCACCGACTCGCCGTTCAAGGGAAACCCGGTGGCGGTGTGTTTGTTGGAGGAGGACAGAGACGAGGAGTGGTTGCAAGCAGTTGCTCGCGAGTTCAATATCTCTGAAACGTGTTACTTGACTCGGATCACCGATTCTGAGTCTGAGTCTGAGTCTCATGACTTGCCTAATGGAACCATAACTACTCCCAGGTTCCGCTTCAGGTGGTTCACTCCTGTTGCTGAGGTCAGTCCATTACTCTCTCAGAGATTTCTGGATTTTTTGTTTGATAAGACACTTTTATTGTCCCGGGCTAATTTTTGTTTTTCTTTCGCGACTACCAGCGAAGGCGTCGCTATTGCAACCGGTCACACTCAAACTCAAGAATAAGGGACAAAAACTCAAATAGAAGGCACACACTAATTTACGAGGGCAAAACTCTTAAACGTTATATATTGAATTCAACAATTTACAAAGAACTCTCAAAGTCAGAATACTCCCCCCATCAGAATGCTCAAGCACCCTTATTTATACAAGAGTAAGACAGATGACACTCTCATTTGCCAAGGGGTAGTTACACACATTTTTGCAATTCCATAGGATACTTGGCTAGCAGGCTTGGTTTCTGGCGACACCTGGCTGACAGTTCCACCCCTTTCAGTAACTGATGTGGAACTGCCCTTTATCAGCATGCATCTGGACTGGATTCAGACTAGGGACGGCTAGAACTATCTCAGCAACTGCCTTGACTGTGTCTCAGCATCTGTAACTGTCAACATCCTCCTGGTCACATGCATTGAGCAGTCATGTGCCCACATTCAGTAGTCAGCCTTGTTTTACGAACCAATGTGCATGTTGGGTTCAACCCATGCCATGCAATCCGAAACTATGCACCCACATTGCTTCAATTGAGCCCACCGCACTGCCATGCTCAACCGGGTGTTCTCATGCTGCCTTGGTTCACCTCAATCTGTCGAACTACTTAGTCGCGTCACCTTGACTCCAACTTATGGCATGCCTTGGTGCAAGGTGTCACCAAGACCGGCCATTTGCACCCAAGTCAGATAGGGTGTGACAAGCCACCCCCACCTGAAGTATCCAACGATCTCGTTGGAATGGAGGCATGATATTGCTCGATGAGATTCTCGAATTGCCACAATGTCGTCTCTTTCTTCCAAGTGGCTTCTTCCGGCGCTTTCTCTTTCCACTTGACTAGGTAATGAGTTCTTCTGTTTTTCTTTATCATTCCCTCAGTCTTATGGTCAAGGATAGCTTCAGCTATTTCTGTGAATTGCTTCCTGATTGTTGGAGGAGTCCGATGCCGAACGTTTCTGTTATGGTCCTCCGGGTCCTCAATATAAGGCTTCAAGAAGGCAAAATGGAAAATTGGATGAAGCTTGAGACGACTGGGAAGATCCAGCCTATAGGCCAACCTACCAATCCTCATTGTTATAAGGAAAGGGCCGTCATAGCGCTGGATTAGTCCCTTGTTTGCAGACTTTCGAGAGATCTTGTTCCAGATTGGTGGGGTCAATTTCAGCATCACTTTGTCACCCACTTCGAACTCTACTGCCCTCCTCTTCTCATCTGTTNCCAGATTGGTGGGGTCAATTTCAGCATCACTTTGTCACCCACTTCGAACTCTACTGCTCTCCTCTTCTCATCTGTCCACTTTTTCATCATCTTCACCGCCTTAGTTAAACAGTCTNATTTCGAGAGATCTTGTTCCAGATTGGTGGGGTCAATTTCAGCATCACTTTGTCACCCACTTCGAACTCTACTGCCCTCCTCTTCTCATCTGTTCACTTTTTCATCATCTTCACCGCCTTAGTTAAACAGTCTTTTGCCTTGTCGGTGCGCTCCTGATTGGCCCAAGCAAAGCGGTATGCTGCAGGACATCTCCCTTGAGACTTCTGCTTGACAACTTCATGCGGGGTAAGAGGCTGTTGGTCAGTTGTCAACTCAAATGGGCTCATTCCAGTGGAAGAGCTCTGTTGGAGGTTATAACTGAATTGGGCTACATCAAGTAAATTCACCTAATTGTCCTGGTTCGTTGTGACATAGTGTCTGAAATATTCTTCCAGCATTGCATTAACCCGCTCAGTCTGCCCATCTGTCTGTGGATGATTGCTGGTGGAAAGGTTGAGCTGTGTGCACAACAGTTCAAATAAGGCCGTCCAGAATTGGCCAGTAAACCGAGTGTCCTTGTCGCTGACTATGTCCAGCGGAAGACCCCAAAGCTTCACAATATGCTTGAGAAACAACTGAGCAGTAACTTTCGCCGTACATACTTTTGGGGCAGCAATGAAAGTGGCATACTTCAAAAATCTGTCTACAATCACAAATATCAAAGTAAAATCGTTCACCTCTCTTTCTCCCAAGGGCTTCTTCCGGCGCTTTCTCTTTCCACTTGACTAGGTAATGAGTTCTTCTATTTTTCTTTATCATTCCCTCAGTCTTATGGTCAAGGATAGCTTCAGCTATTTCTGTGAATTGCTTTCTGATTGTTGGAGGAGTCCGATGCCGAACGTTTCTGTTAGGGTCCTCCGGGTCCTCAATATAAGGCTTCAAGAAGGCAACATGGAAAATTGGATGAAGCTTGAGACGACTGGGAAGATCCAGCCTATAGGCCAACCTACCAATCCTCATTGTTATAAGGAAAGGGCCGTCATAGCGCTGGATTAGTCCCTTGTTTGCAGACTTTCGAGAGATCTTGTTCCAGATTGGTGG